ATATGAGATACTGAGGCCCATCCTCAGACACATGCGTATATCTAGAAGAGGCTTTTATATGAATAGAATACAAGTATTTTAAATATATATCGTATAGAACAAAGTACAGTTTATGAAAATATCCTAATTCATTAACATTAGAATTTAATATTTGCATAAGTCTGTGATTTAGAGCTGCAATAGACTAAATTTCCACTCTATTGTATTTTTTCAGAGACACCACTACAGATTTTGAGTGCAGTTTCAGGTAGACCCCCCCCCCCAACACTTTGGACATTCACTCGAGCCAAACATTTTGCTTATTGACTCATGAATCCACTTTCTGGTTCCAGGCCCGTTCGGCAGCAGTGGCCGCAGGGGCCGACAGACCTACACCCGCTACCAGACCCTGGAGCTGGAGAAGGAGTTCCACTTTAACCGCTACCTGACCAGGAGGCGCCGGATAGAGATCTCCCACGCCCTGTGTCTGACGGAGAGACAGATCAAAATCTGGTTCCAGAACCGCAGGATGAAGTGGAAAAAGGAGAACAAACTCCTGAACCCCTCAAAGACACCGGAGGAGGAGGAGCAGGCGGAGAAGAAGAGCTAAAGGGACACTGGCGCACAGAAATAAAATAAAAAAATAAAATAAAAATCAAATGTATAATTTCTCTGTAGATGAAGTGCTGCAAACCCCATGTTAGAGACGTGTAGAGTGATAGCACGGTGATAATGTCTGCATTAGGTTTGAATCAGGTCCTCCTCTGTCTGTCCTTGTGCTCGTGTCTTTATTTAGAGGACTATGCAAAAATCCGCCAAAATGTAAATAATTTGTAGTGTTTGGTTTTGGACAATGTTGTTACCTCATGACTACAGGCCTCCTGAGTTTAATTCTATTATTATTATTATTATTATTTCTTCCTCGTGCCATTAAACCAGGCTTCGTCCTTCACTGTACTTCTTGTGCTGTAGTTGTCCTATGCTCGTCTCGTTGTTTACAGCTGTGCCATCATCCACTCACCAATTTGTACAGATGAGACAATGTGTTATTTATTGTTGTTCACCATGTGTTCGATGCACATCTGGATATCGTGTGCAATATTTTCTTTAGGAAATTGTACATAGAAAATAAAGGCTTTTTGATGTATATTGGAAAATCTCGTGGTGTCTTTTATACTCAAGGAAAAAAAAAATTATATTATATTAATAAGAAGCTGGTTTATTTTTTTTATGGTATTATTCTCTTTATTCTCGGGTGTTGTGAAATCATAAACCTAGAAATTCCCATAAACGCAGAGCGGAGATTCAATTAAACTTCCCAGTTTGGCACAGAGCGCGTCAAAGTGCCGGCAGGTCCGTGTCAGTTTGTCACCTGAGCCTTTTGTGGCCTGGACGATCCGCGCGTTACATAAATGATGGATGACAGCGCGTCCCGGCGGAGCACTGCCAGCTGCCGCCGGAAGATGGCGCTCTCTGCACGCACGGCTCTCGGGGCGCAGCGGGGAGGCACCATTGACTGGAGCCTAACGACCATTATTTCGTCATCATTTGTAACCATGGAGCATGAATTACCTCTCGAAGTCATCAGAGAGGATTTACGACTGGTCAACAAAGGCACGTGATTCCGGAACGCTCTCCCATATTTGGCCGCATACCTGGCAAAGTACAGTAGGGCTTCATTGCTTATAATTCATGATTGCGTCCATAAATCGTGCAAACACACAGGATTATAGCGACAAAGATCTACAAATCGAGGCTTTAAAAATCCAAGCAAATGAGCTCTTACTTTGTAAACTCGTTCTCAGGGCGCTATCCAAATGGCTCCGACTATCAGTTACTAAATTATGGGACTAACGGCGCTGTGAGCGGCTCCTTCAGAGACCCTGGCACCATGCACTCCGGGTCTTTCGGCTACAACTACAATGGCATGGACCTAACCGTGAACCGCACCAACACCGGCGGCCACTTCGGGGCCGTGAGAGAGGATGCCCGGGGATTCGGTCCGGACGCCCGCTACAGACAGACGCCCAACTGCTCGCTCTCGTCCCCAGATCCGGTGCCGCCGTCGTGCGCCACGGCCAGCCGGGAGCCGCTGGAACTAAAAAGCCCCTCTCCCCCGTCTGACCGGGGCGCGACCTCGGGCGGCGGCGCGCTGAACAAAAGCAACAGCGCTCATTTCACGGAGATCGAGGACGCCACCGTCGCCTCCGAGACCGAGGAGGGCGCGCACAGCAGCGGCGGCGGCTCCAGCACGGCACCGCGGGCGCAGCAGCAGCACCAGGAACCCAACGCCACCTCCTCCACTCCCACATCTAACGATTGCCAAACGCCACAGATATTCCCCTGGATGCGGAAACTGCACATAAGCCATGGTATATTTACGCATCTCATAATGTTTAAGTTCTGCCGGGTGTCACGCTGATGAATCTGTGCGGTGTTGCATGAGTGCGCAGCTCTGGTTGTGTGGATGGTGTTTGTGGAGTCTTTGTGGGACCGTGTGCTCTCGGCGGCTCCAGGTTAACTGCAGCTGGAGCCGGAGCACCGCGAGGATGATGGTGCGCAGAGAGATGCGGATCTGGGCTTCTCTTTAAAATTGTGCGTAAAATGCGCAAAGGGCTGATGGCGAGATCTGGAGATGATGATGATGATAATAATAATGATGATAATAATAATAATAAGACAACGGCGATAACACCCGTGGCGTGTGAGTGTTGTTATGTGTCGTGTTGGTTGCATGCTCCTCCACCTCCTCCACCTCCCCTGCACCAGCTCATTTCATGTGGTGACCCCTCTCTGTCTGTAGCCCAAATACGTCCAGCAGCCAAACTACTCAAATACCCGCCTGTGTGTGTGTTGTGCGGTGCAGTTGCTAATTGTCTGGGTTTTCTGTAAAATTGTAGATATGACTGGACCTGACGGGAAAAGGGCCCGAACCGCGTACACCCGCTACCAGACGCTAGAGCTGGAGAAAGAGTTTCACTTCAATAGGTACCTAACCAGACGGCGGAGGATAGAGATAGCCCACGCCCTGTGTCTTTCCGAAAGACAGATCAAAATCTGGTTTCAGAACCGCAGGATGAAGTGGAAGAAGGACAATAAACTGAAAAGCATGAGCCTGGTGACGGGAGGCAGCGCCTTCCACAACTGAATAACTTTTGGGGAAAGTGTTTAAACAAAAAAAAAAAAAAAAAGATTCATCATAATGATAATTACAATAAAAGAAGAAGAAGAAAAAGAGAAACCAAGAAAGAAATCCATGAGTACTGTAAAGCTATTGAAAGCGCAGCACCTTCCAGCATGTTATTGTGATAGAAGAAGAAGAAGAAGTATTCTGTGGTGTTCAAATGTTTTCAGTTGACTGTTGTACTATGATTAGCTTAGATGTAAAAGAAGATGTAAATATTACTGGGGGTATAACTTGTCCATGCTCTTTGCTCTCTGTCTCTTGAAGGTGTTTAAAACTTGAGCTCTTTATTGTGACTTGTTTCCGGTCTAACAGGAGTCCAATTCATTGTACAGTTAAAAAAAAAACTAAAAAAAAAAAAACTAAAACGACAACAAAATAAGGAGGAAAAAGAAAAGTTTCCAAACCATATGCTGCTCTTCATTGAATGTAATGTATCCGGAGGCCATTCAAAGCGCTTTAGTGTAACTTTTACTGCTATTTTCGATGCTTAACGTCCATAAACCTTCAGAAACAAGCCGATGTGTAGCTCTAGGACATTTTGTGCATCTGTTATTATTGTTTAGAGCTAATTATGAGCAATGCAAATGTATCCAACCTGTCAATGTGATGAATTTTTAGTGCAAAGGGTTCTTCTGTGGCGGTGATGTGAGCTGTTTCCTTCCTTTTTCTGGTGTTTCCTCGCCAATGAGCTTTTTGTATTTGTGAGTGAACTCATAGCGCTTTGAAAAAAAAAATAAAAGTTTCTCTCCATTGCTTTGAACGTGTCTCGACTGTGTTGTCCATGAGAATAAGAAGAAAAGAAAAACACAGGCGTGTTTCTGAGGAGCTGCGCGTAAAGTTGGATTTAGACTCAGTAATGATTAACCTGCAGGGTTAGTTTTTTAAAAAACAACAACACATGGAAAACTATATTTTTACAAACCAGAGCTGAAGAGAAAACTTTTATATAAATTAAAAAAAACAAACTTACCTCTTGTGACCTCTTTGCAGCGAGATGCGTGTTTGGCACGAGGGAATATTGGTGATAAAATCGCACCCCCCCAAAAAAAGAAAGAGTATAGCTTTGGCTTACAGGTATAGACAGAGCTGAAGTTGGTAAAAATCCCCCCTTACCAAAGATTGTATAGACCTATATTACTTACAGACTGTGAAAAGTCACGTGAGGTCCATAAAGTTGGTTTTATGGTTTTGGGGAGTAGACAATGTACTATATAATTCACAACCTTGAATGAAAGTGACGGCTTAACTGCGTGGATGGGACTGGAAAGGCTGGACTGGGGAAGGAAGCGGTGTCCAGTCGGTTTCAGTTCGTTTTAGTCTGAACTTATAAAATAACTGTTCCCATTAGATAAATAAAAAATAAAATCAAAAAGTGGCTGCTTACATTTTTTATTTTTTTAAAATATCAACTTTTTAAAATTTTGTATTCTTGGAGCAAATTGCACTTGAAGTAAATTTACACTCCAAAGAGATTAATTCCACATTTTTACCTGCAAGAAGAAAATAAGAGCTTATTACACACTTTCTCTGTTTTTCTATTATTAAGTGTTTAAAGCTTCTTTCTCTGCTCGTCAGCTGGAAACATAATATAAAGGATTTAATTTTCCAACAACAAAATGTTTTGGATTTTAAAAAGCTGCTCGTGTGGGTTGAAGTGTATTTAAGAGGCTTTGTGTTGCTGCAGTGACACGAACTTGAGCGAGCTCCTGCAGTGATTTATTTCTCTGTGCCGAGTCACCGAGCGGCCAAAGGTGAAGTGTCGGACAACTCCGAGCTGGACTCACGCAGGCTTCACTGACTCCACATGAAGAAACCAACGCCTCTGCGTCGTCTCATAAAACAAAAGCATTTTTAACTTCAGGAATCTAAAAGCTGCGCAATAATATTTACCCCCCCCCCCCAAAAAAAAAAACCAAAGTAAAAACTCATCCCAGGTTCTTTACCAAATCAAAAGAAAAGTTAAAAGCAGCGGTTGGGTTAAATGTGTCCCAGACATTTCCCACATATTCATAACTGTTAAGTGGCAATTTAAGCAGCGTAATGAGTATTGCATATTGATAGAGGTAATCTGTACCCGGATCTCATGCATAATTCATGGCGGCGGGGATCATCGCTGGGTCAGGAGACGACGTTAGACTGCAGCCGCAGATGCGTCAGGAGGAAGCGCACTGCTGCTGCCAGACTTTGCAGTGTCACCATCCGGAGACACAAACACACACTGTGAAAAAAAGACACTCGAATGTTTTTAATCTATGAAATAATTTAAGTTTGAGGGTTTGTGTGTTTTTAAAAAAAAAAATCCAAATCGTAAAACGAGCAGAATTTGTTTCCACTTTCAATTCTAAAGTCAGTTCGTTGAATTTGAACAAATAGAATTTACTTGAAATTAAAAAATTCTCCATTCTGACCTGAAATGCTTTAAATTATAAGAATGGGACAAATTCAAACACGTGATTCTGATGCAGCTTCACTTCAAACTCAGTTAATTCAAAACAATCCACTGAAACATTTTCTCTAAAACCCAACGTGAAAGAGAAAAGTGTATTTATTTCTGAAATGAAAGTAAAAGGAGAAAATCTTTGTGTATTTCAAAGTGACCTCCTCTTGCATTGGATTGAATGTGACTGACGCGGGGATGGAACAGAAATGTCACCTTGTCTCACGTGTCTCCGGGGACAGCGGTTGGAGTCACGGTGGAGACTCTCAACATCTGGAATCTGTGTGTGACCGCACCGCTGCTGGCTGTGATGCAGCTGCCCCTCCAGCAGAGGGCGCCTCAGACCGGGCCGGCCTGGTGATGGATGGTTTTCTGGGCTCGGGCACGTCTCCTCGGGAGCGCGCAGGCTGCAGAGAAAGAGCAGAGAGACAAACATGGTGTCACTCAGAGCAGGTTCATCAGTTCATCAGTTCATCAGTTCATCAGTTCATCGGTTCATCAGTTCATCGTCTCCTCAGGTGTCTGTGGAATTCACCTTTAGCTTCTGCTGCAGGGAGCGGACGGCTGAACTGCAGGTTTTGGCCTTTTCATTAAAAAACACAGGGTTTGGTTTAATTCTCATTAAGATGATAATAATAATAATGATAATCAGAGTAAATTAATTATATTATTCTGGAGTTCTGAGCTCTGGTGCATTTTGAGCCACTTGTTATTGGTTATTTCTATTTTATTCTACTTTACACATCCACAGCGGAATATTTCAAAGGGAAATAACCTTCAACGCCACTGAATTAATTTTTACAGCTACTTTAATTCTTATTATTTCTCATTAACATATCTTATTTCTCAGCCTTTTCACCTGTGAAAAATTTAAATCCTCTAAACTCCTGCAGATTTTAATTTAAATGAGTTTGTGAAGTAAAATCCCAACTACTTTATTATTCACCTTTTATTTATAACCACTTTCTAGTACTAATATTTCTAATGGTCTTTAAATGACTTATTCATATTTATAACTACAGACTTGATGGATGAAACCACTTTAGAATTGACGTATTAGTATTTATAACAACGTTTAATGACTTATTGTTTTTAATGGTGGACTACACACCTTTATTAATCACTTGTAAACATTCATAATGTGTATTAATGGATTGTTAACATTTATAATGAAAGACTTGGACTTCTTAACCATTTATAATGACTATTAATGACTTACTAGCATTTATTACAGCTGACTTGATGATTACACTCGTTTATAATGTAGAGTCAGTGGATTAAACCTTTTATTAATCACTTATTACCATTTATAACTTTTATTAACATCTACAACAGTTGACTCGATGAATTATTGTGAAATAAGTGTTATTATCCTTCGAACTGCAAATGTAGAAACATCCTGTGTCTCTTGTTTTTGATGTTATGATTCATTTAGCTTCTGTCCTCCAGCCTGAGGCTGACGTCCTGTCGTCTATATAAACCCTGTAGATCCGAATTTGTGTAAATGTAGCAGCAGCCACAAATTCGTGTCTTGGGGAGTATGTAGGCGACGACACTTCTCCTGGAAGAAAGCGTTCACCTCGTCCAGAAAATACTAGAGTAACTGAATTTATCCTTTTTAAGAGGAGTTCTGAAGTTTTCCCTCTTCGAGCTGACCCTTGATCGTGTGTGTGCGTGTGTGTGTGTGTGTGTGTGTTCTCTTTTGTTGGAGAATATGACATCTGTTAAAGATGCAGGACAGGCCCCTCAATGTGGCCTTTGTTCGCCTCGTCATCACTCACGTCTCCTCTCCACTGTCGCTGTCTGAGGCCGAGGAGGAGTTTGAGTTTGCAGGGAAACGTGAGGAGGACGTCGCCAAACTGCTCCAACGCAGCGGACGGAGGATCAGTCCTGAGGAGAAGATGAGACCACGACAAAAAAGAGAAACTGTAAGTTTAACAAACACGTATTTTAACAGGAGAGCCGAGTGTGTGGGTTTAATTTGAGGATAGAATCATGTGGGAGGTGAGAAACTTCAACTTCTCCCGCCCTGTTTGCAGTGAATGAACATTTAGAGTTTAAAACCCTTAATAATAAAGTTATATAGTTAATTAAATATACTTATAAACAGCTGTGAGGACTTTTTAAACATTTAAGGTTTAAAAATTGTCAGCAACTGTGAAGGAATATTTTTTGCTTTACTACAAATGTGTTTATTATCCTCCCACAGGATGAGTGAGTGTACAAATACATGAATAAACTGACATCACCGTGTATTATTTCTGTCAATATGCTGCTTGTAAGGGATTTCTACGACTGACTGATCTTGATTTAGCTGGAAACCTATTTTGTTTGCCAATTATTTTTACTATAATTGTGCTATGAGGCTATTTATTTATACCAACTATGTATTTTTTATTAGATTAACACCTGTCGTTTTCTATTTACTTGTTTTTGCTTCTCTGTGGGGAATGAAGTCGCTGCCATTGTTGATTCAAATGTCTCTATTCATCGATTGGGGGCAATAAATCCCCTCCTCTGCAGACACGTGGTTCCTGCAGCTAATTGACAAGAGAGGTTGCAGAGAGCTGCATTTGTCAGCAGGCAGTGCAGGGGTGGGGGTGGGGGTGGGGGGGTGTCTGTGCATGTCCATCACAGATGAGACAGGCGACCACATGATGGTGGAGTGATGGGACGTATAAAGTGCAACTCAGGGATGTTGTCATATGTGAATGACAACTACAGGCCATGTACAGCACAGTGTGTATTTACACTGTGTCTCCATCCCCTGACTTATCATGTCCGTCCATCTGCACCCCCCCCCCCCCCCCCCCCCCCCCCCCCCCCCCGTCCATATTCTCTCATACATCAGAGGACAGTTAACACTTTTTTAAGACCGTGCACTTAATGCTGATTTTCTTTGTATTTACACGTCACTTTTTATTGCACATTAGAGCCAATCTGAGAGATTTATGGCTCATGTGCACCAAGTTGCCAGTTTATTAGGGACACCTGTGCATCCTGTAGTACTGGTACAAGTACTGCGGTGAAATACGATTCAAGTACTTGTACTTTTTGTTTCTTTTTCCTGCTACTTTAAGACATCAGCTTCGCGACGTTTCAGAAGCAAACTACTACGTTTTTACTACTTAACAAAATAGAAACACCAAATTCATTGTGATGCGTCATCACAGATGATGAAAAGGTTTAAATGATTCATGCTGGAAATTCAAGAGCTGTTAAAATGACACTAGACGCTGCACTTCAGTGATTCCTGCACATTAAATACACAATAATACTTTATTCTGAAGCAGGACGTTCCGCACTTTTAATTCTTCACCTAAGTAAACTGTAGCACCAGTGCACTCCTCACTGCTACCTGAGAGATAAATCTGAGTTCTTCCATCACTGACATGCAAATAAACTGAGGTGGACAAAATACTGTGAACCCCTCTCGGCTTTAAATCAATCCTGTTCAGCAGCACCACGAACTGTTTGACTGTTTGAGGTGTTTGACGAAACACTCTTGGCACAATCAGACCCACTTATCCTGGAAATGTCCCGAGCTCCACGCCACCTCTCATGGCCTTCATCAGCACACCGAGTCAGGTCACTATTAATTGTTGTTTGCTCCATGACAACTGCAGCGGTGGAGGAAGTGATGACATTATTCACTCAAGTCAAAGCAGAGAAATAACCTTTGTGTTGTACTCTTGCTGCTGATGCATTCAAGTTTACACAGAATTTTAAATTCTGATGTTTAGTTTTAGTTTTTTTTAATGTAAAAATCTTAACTATCGTTTAAATAAATGTAGTGGAGTAATAAAGTGATTTTCTTCCCTGGAACTATGGAGTACGTAACCCAAACACATCCAAATGAGTTATTTCCTGTTAATTCTAAAACTAAAAAGTGTAAATTTGAAATTTTTTTTTAAAAAGAGGAGCGAGGAGCTGCTGCATTACTTTTAGAAACGTGTTCCTAATAAACTGATCACATGACCGTGTTGAAGCCTTTTAACAGAGACATTATGATCACATCCACCTTTCAGATCAAACTAACTCCAAACACCGATCACGCAGCTTTTCTCATCCCGCAGCTTTTGGGATCTGCTCAGTTTGGATTCTCTGAGACTCCGGCTGCGGCTCACGGCTCACAGATCACAGGCGCGGACCATTTGCATGAATTAACCTCTTAGTTAAATATTAACTTTCACAGCCAATCAAAGCCATCGAGCAACGTGAGGTTGAGAGATCAAAGCTGCGACGATCGACCCACTGGGACGTTTGACACGTTTTAAACCAGATCACCACAGTGTCAACATGTGCACAGAGACTTTGAATGGACGCTGTCTGTCTCTGTGTCTCTGTGTCTGTCCCCTCTTCTTTAAAACGAGTCCATCTGATCACTCATTTAAATTAGAAAAGGAGAAAAAAATCTCATCACACACACACACACACACAGAAGACGTAGAGCACTTGGTATGCGAGTGTGTAAAAACAAATACTGATGGCTTTCTTTAGCTGCGTAATTTATGGCATCGCTGGCATCGGTCCGAATTGGGGGATGTTTGAATTTATTGTTCCAGCGCTGGACACGTTCCAGGGGAAAAACTCTGGCTTCGTGTAAATGTGCAGGAGGGAAAAAAAAAAAAACGCAACTTGAGTGTTTCTGTGTGAAATATAAAAATAGCAGCTTTTCACTCGTGGCAGTTTTGAGGAGGCGACTTCAAAACAAACAGTTTTCTTTATATAAAACCGCTGAAAAGGGAGTTTAGTGTTGAATCACTTCAGTGCTGTCGGGTTTTCATTCTGCTCAGATTGTTATGAAGACGTAGTTGTGGTCAATTTGGCACAGGAATGCGTAAAATATTCCTTTCTATGGCTATTAGCATATATGACACTCAGCCTATATCTCACACACGCACACGGGTGAGATTTAAAAATAGCAGCCAGTGTGGTCCAGATGTGAGGAGGCGACTTCTCAACAAACTAATCCTTATTTAAATCCACTTCAAATGGAGTTCAGTGCCAGAATATCTCAGTTTCTCCAGCCCTCTGTTGGTGCTGCTGGATGTTCACTCGGCTCAGATTGTTATGATGATGTACTTAAAGACAATTTGGCACAGAAATGCGCAAAGATCCTCCTTTCCATGGCTGTTATATAAAACCCAGCTTGCGTGCAGGGATTCCTTTTCGTCTTTGTTGCTACAATTGTTGAGGTATTTGCAAGTTGAGTGTTTCTGGGTGGAATTAAAAAAAAAAAGCAGCTCCTGTCTGGTGGAGACACAGACCTTACTTCTACTGGGCTCGAGTTTTACTGTTGAGTCACTTCGCTGCTGCAGGATTTTCATTCTGCTCAGATTGTAATGAAGATGTAGTTGGAATCAATTTGCCATTTTCCTTTCTATGGGTATCACCACATGAAAGTCAGCCTGCATGATCAGCAGAAAGGGATTCCTTTTACGCACGGACACACACACACACACACACAGACATAGCCACACACACACACACACCTACACACACACACACACATAGAGCCTGCAGAAATGCTATGCAAGGCGGCGTGAGCTGAGAAACACTGTCCACTCCGCTTCACCCCCAAAGCCACATCAGCGTCACATCATCCGACCCGGAGCCGGAGAGGAGCCGCTTCCTCTGCGGGGATTATTCTAACGCGCGGAGGTGAGAGAGGCGTCTGTTTTCCGTGAGGACTGTTTGTGTGCGGGATGAATGTAGGTGCGGGGAAGGTAAGGCGGCCGGGGTGTTGTGCCGCGGACTCGGTTATGTGTCTTTATGATTTACGAGCCTGACTCCAGCCGCGGTTCACCCAGAGTTCATAGAGCTGCATGCCTCCAGACTTCTCCTCTCCGCTCCGCTTCTGTTTCACTCCTACAAGAAGAGAGGGTTTCATTTAGCTCGGTAACGATGTTCAACTCCATCTTTTAATCGCATTTTGTTTCGGTCCAGGCCCTAAAACCAGCCGCGGCGCAGCACAATGGACCCGTGTTTGATTTTGTGTTTGATGGATGAGCTTCCATAACATTACATTTTTTACAGACAGGACGATCCATTGAGTGAATAAAGACTTTCATGTGTTCACAGTCACAGCCTGGGCGGTCACTTATAGAAACCCACTGAAAACAGAATTTAAAAAATCTGGTTTGTTTATTAATATTAAATGTATTTTCTTTTTAATTAGCCAGTTTATATCTGAGGCTAATAACTATTACTGTTTGTCGTATTGCTGCCATTAGGGCTGGTGCTTTATTTAAAAGAGAAGAAGAATAGTCTCAAGTGATAATTTCGTTTCAAAATCTGGAATCATGTTTTTTTTTGTGTGTGTTTCAACAAAATATCATGATCCAATGAGGGGTCAATAATTAAAAATGATATTTTCTGGGGCAGGTTTTACAAGATTACCCTCAAAGCGTTGTTTGCCAGGAGGTGTATTTCCACCAGGCTCTTAATTCTCCGTCGCCTCTCTGCTCAGGAGAGGCTCAGCTATTCATGTCAGGACACTATTGAGCTGATAAGATGGATCATGTCGTCTCCTCCCTGATTCTCTGTGTGGTTTTTTTTCTGGACCCTCTCAGGCCAGCAGCCCGGTGCTCTCTGGAAATCTGCCATGTGACATTTGGCTGCCAGCGCTGCGTCGTAAGGTCAAAGTGGAGGGTGGGAGGCCCCCGGTGCACTTTCAATGGAGATGCAGAAAAGCAACGTGCACCACCACCAAGACTTCACCCTCTGCAGCGGGTCTGTGCGTGACGGCAGCGGGTTTGGATGCGCACACCAAGCGGCCGGAGAGCACCAGCATGGGGCCGGGCAGGTGGAGACGTTAGAGCGCACGGTCGCCCGGAGGTCGAAGCAGCAAAACCAAAAGTTGAACATGAGCAAAAAGATTTTCCCCTGGATGAAGGAGTCGAGACACAACGAGACTCACAGCAGGAGGAGCTCAGGTTTGTGTGACACCAAGGAGAAGAGGAGGAGGAGGAGGAGGAAGAGGAGGCCAGTTACCAAATGAGGCCTTTTCATTTATGAGCCCTCTAATGAGCTCTGATACAGTTAATTGAGGAGATTAGCTCATATTTTCCATCCTCGGGTTCAAAAGGTCACGGAAGCTATTAATTAAATCCAGTCAGGCGAAGCAGGCTGATAAATACACACCGGCTCTGCATCAGATCCACAGTTTAAAGTAAAGTCAACAGAAACATTCTTTGGTTTAGCTCTTTTCAAAACAAAGTGCAGAGAAAATATTGGGAATGCAGAAAAACCAATTAAGAAGAAATGGATGAGAAAATATAAAATGTTTTTAAGTGCTTCTTTTTGAAAATGTGATTCCACTGTAAGGCCTGGACATTATTTATTATTAGCAGAAATATATATATATATATATATATATATATATATATATATATATATATATATTCTAAAATTTAAAACCCAAATCATACATTTAATGTACAGTCAAATTTAAGAAAGAGAATATAGATTTAAAGAAGTAAAAAATTTCGAACATGCTACTTTAAAAAAACAAAGACAAATGATCTTTGTCACCTTTTATTGTTTCATTGCTTTTGTTCTGTGAAGCTCTTGTGTTTTATCGTTTGGACGAAAAGTGCAATAACGTTTGATTGATTTAAAAAATCTTTCTCCAATGTCAACTGCATCAAAGTTGAGTTTACAACCTATAACTTACTCGTTAAATATCCCAGTGCGGTCTCTGGGTGTTTATACTGTTTCTGCCCTGTTGTTCATTCGTCTGCTGATTATTATTTATTCATGTCAGATGTTTCTGGAGCAGGTTCGCTGTGATTTTTGTTATTTTTACGCAGCGTCCACGTGGAGGTTTAGAATAAATGGAATAAAACAACAGAAAACTGACAGTGAACGAGGCTCAGACAGAAAATGACTGAAAACAGTCAAATAAGATGCAAAAGTTTGAATTCAAATAAAAGGAGGATGAGACAGAAAAGTCTACACTAGGTGGTTCTGATCTTCCACCCCCCCCCTCTCTCTCTCTCTCTCTCTCTCTCTCCTGCACAGACTGCACCGTCAACGAGAAGTGTCCAAGCGCGACCCCGGCCTCCAAGCGGACGCGCACCGCGTACACGAGCGCGCAACTGGTGGAGCTGGAGAAGGAGTTCCACTTCAGCCGCTACCTGTGCAGGCCGCGGCGGGTGGAGATGGCCAGTCTGCTCAACCTGCACGAGAGGCAGATCAAGATCTGGTTCCAGAACCGCAGGATGAAGCAGAAGAAGGACGAGAGGCAGCAGGGCCTCATCACGTCCTCCTCCTCACCCCCGTCCTCCCCCTCCGCCCCGGGCAGCCCCACTCTGTCCAGCCTGGGTTATGTCCATCTGGGCGGGGATTACCAGGCGGCCTCTCCGCCGCTCCAGTCCCAGCAGCAGCCACAGTACCCGGCAGAATACTCCAAATATCCAGCTCTGGGCTTTACGCACGGTCCGCAATTCGATGTGCAGTACGACACGCACGGCAGCGCGCACACAACAAACCAAAACGTGGACGCGAACGGTTCCTTCTTCTCTCAGAGCTGCTGCTCTCCTCAGGACAGAATCATGCGAGCTCCAAAACTGACTCATCTGTAGCAGACGAGATCCTCGAAAGACTTTACTTAATGGAGGCGAAACTTGACCGATCTGTCTTGAAGCATGCGTTTTTATTCTTTATTTATTGAACTAATTATTTAAATATTAGTCTCTACTTTTATTTATTTGCATTTACACATATTTATTCCTCTGGAGCCTTTCAATCCACTGTTTTATGTAACTTTTACGCATGAGCCTCTTCAGGAACGTTACAATCCAAACTCACGTGGCTCAAATTAAAACGTTAACTGTTGTTTTTTTTAGGTAGAATAAATAAATAAATAAATAAAAAAACACTCCCCTGAGTAAATATTTCTCCAAGAGCCAGACGACTGTAATTCAGCCAAAACGTTGGTAAAATGGCAAATCCACCGTTTCCTTCTTAAAGCTTAATTAGCTCTTGAGTTCTGCAGCATCACATTAACTCTGTACTTAATTACAGTGCCCTTACGGATGGCTGTGGACGTGATAGGTTTTGGAAGATATTACATTATAGCCTGAGTGTCGTTAACTCTCAAGCAAGAGAGATAGAAGCCAGAGAAAAGCGCCTGTATGGTTCTTAAATGTGTCTTTGTTCTTTTATGGGCAAAGTGGGCCACACAAACTGTCAATCTGTAAAAGAGCCATGATGGATCACTGGATCCTCTGCGCTGCCTCTTTTTCTCTCTCCTTACAACAGTCTGATTCACAGTCTGTCTGGTTTCGGGGTTAAAACACAGAACTACTGTATTTCGGTAATAAGATAATAAACATTTTGACTGAATCTGTATTTAGAAAATTAGAAAGAGAGAGATTTAGATGTGTACATTAAACGAAAAGGTGGAAATAAATCAACACAGTTAATAACACCTTACAGGCCAAAAAATTAAAACGGTTAAAACATTAAAACTAAAAACATTATTTGTGCACTTAGTGAAATAATTCAGTTAATTTGAGCCATTTCTTGATATCATTACATTATTAAAACCTGCATGTATCCTGAATCCTCTGGGGGCCATGATTATTACAAACACACTATCATCATTATTATATATGTTATACATATATTGCCACAATTCTCACTGTCATAAATTTGTCACTTTGAGCCCCTCTCACGCTGCAGCAGGAAAATTTGCCCTGGTGTTTGTGTTCTTATCAGATGGATGAGCGCGTTTGATTGAAGCATTTGTCATGTAAATGCGAGGCCGTGTGATGGACGAGCCCGCAGACCTGACAGAGTGCTGTAGGTCTTTGCCATTGGCGTTTAGCGGGTCACATGGTGTGTCAGGAAGGTGATATGAGGGTGGAAGGCAGTTTTACAGCTTTGACATACTACCTAGAAGGTTAGGGCACAGGGAGCACCGATTAATGACTGCTCAGCCTTTATCACTTCAGAACAAACAAAGGCTCCAGGATGAACTCCTACTTAGACTACCCAGTGTGCAACCGGGGAGCGAATATTTTCAGTGCCAAGGCCGGATACCACAATTTAAACCACGGATACATGTCGTCCAACTCGTGTGCAACAAGTGATAGCTACGCACCGGATGGCCGCTTGGTCGCCTCGACGTCTGCGCCCCACCAGACTCCGGGCCTCCCCCTGCACCACCAGACACACGTCAACTTGGACCTGCAGTTTTCCACACCGGGGAACTCCATGTATGGGTCGCCTCTGGAGTACGGACATCACCAGTACGGCCTGGCCTCCGAGCAGGACCGGAACTTCATCCATGCGCAAGTTTCACCCCTCGGAACAAACATGGCCCCTTACACCGGGGACAGCTGCGGGCCTGGGGTTGCGGCCGGCGGCCACTATCTGCACTTTGGTAACGGAGAGCAGAGGCAGCAAGAATACACAGACAGTGTTTACACAAGGTTACCGCCCCAGAGTAAGGAGAAGGATTTGGAGCCTGTGGAGGAAACGTCTAAAACATTCGATTGGATGAAAGTGAAGAGGAATCCTCCTAAAACAGGTTTGTTCATCCTCGGACTCATTTAAGAATTAGTGCAATGAAGTGCAGCTTAGGAACAGGTCGTGGGATCTGTGAGGGCAACGCTGGCTCACTGTGCGTAAAAACAAAGCCCGGCTGATGTAATTAACCAAAATTGCTCAGAACTAAATATTTGGCATCTAACTCTTTGTACCGTTTTTTTCTACTCATGGTCTTTTTTCATTATCATCTGTTACTCACGCATTAGTCCCACGAGGTCCATGTTTTTCCTCCATCACACGTTCATCCATGCTCTCTCCTCAGCGGTCCTGTCCGAGTTCGGGGTCCCCGGCCAGCACAACGTGATCCGCACCAACTTCACCACCAAGCAGCTGACCGAGCTGGAGAAGGAGTTCCACTTCAACAAGTACCTGACGCGGGCACGACGGGTGGAGGTCGCCGCCAGTCTGGAGCTCAACGAGACGCAGGTGAAGATCTGGTTCCAGAACCGCAGGATGAAGCAGAAGAAACGCGAGAAACTCGGCTCGGCTCTGGTGAACAACTCTCCCGCACCTATGGAGAAACTTCCCGGGCCTGAGTCCTCTCCAAAGGCGAAGGGGAAAGACTCTGGACCATTATAAGACTTTAAAAAAATAAAATATATATATATATGTGTGTGAACGTGGAGGCCTGAGCTGTTTCCCTCAGTGGCACAATTCCAGGAAAAAACTGTGAAAATGCTTTTGGACGTGTGTAGAACATGTGCTTAAAGGACATTGGTTTGACACTGAATGCTGAGATTTGTTTTTTAAATGTCTTTTCATCCATTCTTGTATTTTATAATCTATCATAAGCCCATGCTGTGTTTTGAGTTGGAGCACTGAAGTACTCAGTGTCATCATTTGCACTATTTATTTACAGGGTATTTTCCAACAATTGCTGAGATGATTTAAGCTTAATAAAGTTTATAAAAATGAGGAAAACCAAGTTGTACATGCTGTGTTTGTAAAAAGATAACTGGGATACGTGAATTTGCTTTTTCCTGAGTTTATAGGTCCAAAATAAATTATTTGAAATCATGAATTGCATTAAAAACTTTATCTTTTTTTTTTTTTTTACATCCAGTAATAGTTTCACCAAAGTCCTCTTGCATAATGTGACAAGAGGAATCTTTCACAACACATGGGGTGGTTCCCAGTGACCTCTTCACCTCCTAATACCTCCAGGGGCTCTAAACATGACAACAAACTCCAGGGAGCCAGGTCTCACCCTTGATTTGTTACCCAAATTCTGCTTAGATACAGCTGACACAGGTCGCCACAGAACTCCTCATGTATTTGACATGATTTAAGAGAAATACTTTGTTTTTGATAACGTTCTTTCCTGTTGAAAACAAAGGAGATAAGGTGATAAGCCAACGTCTCAGTGCTCATTCAGGTTTCGCCTTTAGCCAAACGTTTGCCGGAGCTGGCCACCAAGGTTCAGCCGATGCTAAAAGAGCAGCAGTTTCAATATTTGCACTGGGTGTTAAGTTTGCACACACAAGTTTGTGCCCCAGCAGCACCGGCCTGTTGGTGTCCTTTTTCCTAAAGCTGAGGTTCACGCAGAGTTCAGGCACAAATGAATGCAGAGTCAATCCGTCAAGACACCAGAGTGGCTCGTAGAGGAGGAACTCCAGGCCTCTCTCACTTCATAAGTTTGCAGGTATTGCTTTTAATATTTAGAGTAATAAGGTTATAGGCCATTTAGCGAACTGTGCAAAGTTACAACTGTTTTCCACCTCTGAAAAACATGTTTCTTTGAAATGGAAATCAGCAACCATTTGAAATATATCTGCATGAGTGTGCAGTTCTCTCACAACTATATTAAAAATTAATACAGTTCATCGAATAGAAGTTACAGTTGAAACACCATACGGCCCATTACTGTAAATTAGAAAAAGGGCTAAGGGATTTGTTGTCGTACTTTTCTTTACAAGGCAGAATCCTCCTCTTCAGATGAGTCACAAGGCCAAGGACTGTGGCGACAATCGATATGGTGAATAGTGACAGATTCAACAACAAAAAGGGGGACGGTGCAGAAAACAAGTGTGGGACTTCATTCCAGAGGTGTGATCCCTGCCATCTCTGTAGGCAATACCTCAGCGCTCCCAGCGGGCTCTCCATCTGGAGGTGTCAGAGTGTGTGCTGCAGCCAACGCCACGGAGACAGATGTTCAGCCGGGGGAGAGGAGGAGGAGGAGGAGGAGGAGGGTGTTTTTCACCTTCGGATCAGCGGAGCCCTCTCTTCCTTCTGCTGGAAAATGTAGGGCAAGGGGAGAGGAGGGGAACTAGAAATGGTAAATGGACACAATGGGAAAAGAAGGAAGATCCTACAAAAATAATCAAAAACTCTGCAGCACCAACACCCCCACTGCACACGAGGACTATTAATATATACAGCAGCCGAGCTCCTTCTGCGCACATATCTAACACATCTTCACCCGACCTGCCCCCCTCTGCACTTTGTTTGAGGTCAACCCAGTGCTGTTTGTACCCCATGCTGTTTGCAGTTGTTGCAGGCTCTTTTACAAGTCTATTGCAAGGCTCACTTCCTTGGTTTTCTACCAGTTCCTCTGTCGCATGTCACTCTGCAGGGTCCCCGGGCTTTAAAGACAAACTAGATACAGTATTCATGGGATGACGGGGGGTCGCTCATCTAAGAGAAACCACAGAGGAGTCATTTTTACTGGCAGATGTCAAACGCAGCCACAGTGTTTGTCTCACATAGATGGTTTGGACTCCACTGCGATAAACGGAGCTGCTGATGTGTCACGGAGAGATTTCGGCAGAATAGCCACGATATTCTATCATATTTATGAAATAGAATATATAAGACTTCATAAGAGACGGAACAATTGAGTCTTGGACTAATTTCCATCATTGTTCCTGGTGTTTTTCCACAGTCGCTGACCTGATTGAAGCCTGAGTCAGACGAACAATGTCTGACCACAGAAATGCTGAAGACTGAAATCATAAAAACACGACGCTTCATTACAACTGCAACGATAAGTCGACATAAAAATGAATCAGCAGCAACTTAATGACTGAACAGTCGTTTTCAAGCAGAATAACTAATATTTGCCTCTTTCAACCCGTTGAATGTGAAGATGTTTTGCTTTTGTTTGTCATAGTTTCAATTATCT